TCATTTTACTACAGAACATGGGAATTTGATGATCAACTCTTATTATTAAAGTAAATAGTATATCTAGATCACTTTAAGTCTATCATTTTCAAGTTATGATGAGAATGAATGAGCATTGGTATTTTCTAATGATTTGAAATCTACATGCTGTACAGATTTTAGCAAGGCATCTGTTGTCAGCTACTTTACTACTTATCACAATATGATATGTGGTCTAATTAATTTTGATGATATTCTGATATAGTTGAATGTTAAATGTCATATATCAATGTCATTAAAAATGCCATGTAATTGTGCTTCTTTGAATTTTAGAAGTCCTATAATGAATTTAGAGAGAAATTTCTACTCTAAATACAAAAACAGGATGGACTCAAGAATATTTTTTTTTTCATTCGAACTCTCTTTTGCACATGAGCACAAGCAAAGTCCTTTCCTACATCAACTGATGGAATAAAACAAAACTAAGGTATATATTCTTATGGAAATCATTATTTTATAAATAGAGACAAAAGGAGAATTTTTTCATGTTATTTCATGACAGGATATGAAAGGCTCCTAATCCACTTTTATAACTAATTAAATTTTCTGATTTGTAAGGAATCTATCAGCTATTTACTATTAGTTGCATTATGACATATAATGCGGACTTACAAAGTTTGACGATGAAAAGAGACAGTGTTAGTTAAGGGTATTACTTCATTACTTTAATAATTTTCTGTTATCCTGCAAAATAGAATTTAAGAAATCCTTTTATGATTTATGAGAAATCTATAAATACAAAATCAGGTTGCGTTTGCACTTTTATCACCTAATCTCTCCTGTGCACATGAGCACAGGCAAATTCTTTGAAGCAGACAATCTATGGGGGTATTTCCAACATCTATTGATTTATTGAAACATCACTAAGTAGCATATTTTACAGGTAAATCCATGATTTTAAAAACTTTGAGACTAAAATGGAAATTTTGACAAATGATTTAACGACAAAAAAAACTAGAAGCTGATGATCAACTCTTATCACTAATTTATATTCTATGTCTAGCTCATTTAATTTACATCTCTTTATCTTATCTCGTTATATTGAGTTTGTAATGATTTGAAATCCACCTGCTGTGCATGCTTTAGCATATATGACATATAATGTGGGCTTGATTTAAAGAGATAGTTAAATAATAAGTGACATCTTTATTACTTTTTCTTAAGCCCTGCAATAGTGCATATACCTTGAATTTTGGTAGAAATCTACAAATACTATTGAAATTTTGTTCAGACTTTCTCAATTCAAACTTTCATGAGCACAAGAGCACAGTCAGGGTGCTTTGAAGCAGACAATGTGTGAGAGTATTTCTTATACATGTACATTGATTAAATAAAAAAACTGAGTATATATTTGCATGGGAATCAAAAGCCAAAAAGGGAAATATTGAAGTTCTCAAATAATTTATTTCAGGTGATTCACTCTTATTTCTTTTTCTAAGTCACTTTATATATACCATTTTCAGCTCATTTCAAATATTTTCCAGTGACATTTTCGACTGGTTTTGAAATCTGTTTTTTGACAAACTGTACACAGGGACTGTCAACTTATTACTACATGTGGTATCAGTTTGCATTTGACATATAATATGGAGTTATATGTTTTCCATAATTAGAAAACCAAGATACTTCATAACTTAAAAAAAAACGGTAATTGTGTCTTTAATCGAGAATTTATATAATTCGTATAAAACAATTTTCTTTCAAATCACAATCATGGAAGAGAAAATATATAAATATTAAAAATAACTCATATCTGCATATGAAATTTTAGAAATATCAGAAATGTACTAACTCGAAGAATAACTCTTCATTGTATTTGTCTGTAAGTATATATGTTTATGCCTATTAGATCCCTGATATGGAAATAAATGCTATTCTATTCTATTCACATATTAAGATCTTAAAGAAGGGGGGGGGGGCAAATTTTGCTAGCTAGCTTGTGGTTTTTGCTGGATTTCAGATTTTCTGCACAAGTTGTAAATTGATACAGCAATACCGCATTCCTATGCAGACGACTCTGTTAAAAAGCAGGGCAATGTAGGTCAAAAATCTGTTTTCCCCGACGAAGCGATTGAAACAAAAAAAGTCTGGCATTCATGTAAACGAGAGGCTCACTGGGGGTCTTGCTGTATCTTAAGATTGCATTTAATTATAATGCATGTATCAGAATTATTTCATTAAAAAAATGTAGAGAACAAATGAATCTTTGCATTAGTAAAATGAAATTGGATTTCATACAAATAAAAAATTGAATAAATGAATGAATAGATAAAGGAAAAGAAACAAGATGTTGCAAACTTTTTTAATTTGTTTGCTTAATTGTTTTCTTAAGCAAAATCGTATGATCATAAAACTTCCAGGGAGTTCCTGGTGCATGTCAGATAGCCTTCAAGAACTTACATGAACGTTCTTTTGACAAGAAGAAAAAGAAGGTCATTCGATGATCCTATACTATAATTAAGCATTGCTAGTAGCAATACATAATAATTACTTCGTCCAAAATGTGTGGGGCACAGTTCAATGCTCAGTTGGAATGAAAATAATTAAGTTTCAAAATATAAACTATAAAATCATAGCATATTTTGTAGAATGGTGGGGAATTCGTGTACTTTATTATCTATGTTGTTTACCTTTAATTTCATTCTTTGAAATGCAGTGCATCTAGACATATAACAATTAAATTATCCCACTTGTTATTTGGTATAATTATGCTTCAAATGATATACGACCCCCCCCCCCCCCCCGCCCAAAAAAAATACTTCTATACTTACAAAAAGATAATAAAAGATGAAATTGTTGTTCATGTCTATACTTATGAAAAGATAATAAAAGATGAAATTCATCTTAGGAAATTGTTGTTCATGTCTATAAATGTATGAGACTAATTTTTTTTCATGCAAAATAAATTGCAAATCAAAGATCATCGATCCTCTGAAACGTACAATCATTTAAAATAAAAATAAACTAAAAATCTATTCCATTATAAGAGTTTGTAAAAGACTAATGACCTTTTCTGTTTATTAATTGCTTGTCAATATTTTTAACCCCCCCCCCCCTTCAAACAATTGTATTTTCTTTGGAGAAATAGACAGTTAATAACTAGCCTTCTATACTTCTCTAAAAGAGAAAATCCACTTTAATATTTTTAAATATATTATGTATATTAAATAACAGTTGCATTTCGATCTATAGTTTCTACGTTTTTACAGAAACATTTATTACATGTAAGTCAACAAAATACAGGTTTTTATATTTGACAATATACAATAGTTCTGGCTATAGGAGCTGATTTACACCATCGATTTTTTTCATTAAAATGAATATGTAACAAATATTAAGTTTTCCAGGACTGTTTTGAAAATCTTTTGAGGTAATTAATCCTGAACCTTTACAGTATTCAGTATAAAATGGCATAATATACGGTTCATCTAGCTCCTTCGTCTAATGATAACATACATATAAGAAAGTTAACTAATTACGTGTCATGACTAGTCATTCCTCCTTTTATTATTAGCATTTTTCTGCTACTGTAGATAGCAAATACAAGTATGGTACAGTGCGTAACATGTTTTTTTGTCATCAATACGATGGAACATTTTTTCTTGCAAATCATATTCACGTCGATCATGACCTTCCCCCCCCCCCCCCCACTTCTTTTAAAATTAAATCTTTGTACAAGTAACCGATAGATAAGCACGCTGCCTTATGCAGACGACCTTGATTTAGGAAGTGTGATATTAACCAGGGCAATGCACATACCGGAAATATGTAGGTCAAAAATCTTGCCTCTTCCATTCTAGAGATAAACATGTTTAATTAAAAAAAGAAGTTTGCATCCAGGATCACTTTAAGAAAGAAAAAGTAAGATGTTTTGTGTATGAGAGAGAGAGAGAGAGAGAGAGAGAGAGAGAGAGAGAGAGAGAGATGTACATATGAGACTTTCAAAAACTTCTATTGATCACGGTTACACCTGGAATAGAAATATAACTATTTTTTTTCAAAACATTCTCCACATCGATGAAGTTCAAATAGCATAAAATATGTTATCTTCATAATAAATCAGATTGTAAGAAAAATCATTCTGAATTTCTTTTTTTTCATTTATTAATTGATTGATTGATTGATTTTTTCTTATTTATCTATTTACTTTTTTAGTGTAGCGTACTATGTATTGGTCTACTGGAACTATTTAACAAGGAAATAAAATAATTGCAAAGATTGATTTGATAAAATTATGTGTAGACTGAAAAGCTTTTTTAAGTTAATTTGGTTAACTTTAAAAGAAATGAAACAATTAAAATCATAGATTTCCTTTTGTTTCGTAATATACATGTAAAATAATTTAATTTTCCTTAATCTCACGACTTGAACCCAATAAATTTCTTTTATCTGAATTTTAGTTCATTTTTCATGTAAATGCAAAGTAGCATGCTTGTCACTAAAATCGAATAATAAGCATTTACTATCAAATTATTTTATTTATCGAGAAATAAATATTAAAAACGAATCGCATACTTTTTGTTCACATGTAGTGCGTCTTCGGCTTTCATAAATCTTTATTAATTTATTTTTTGATTCCTTTGTGTTTAACAAAATATTTTATTTAGTGAACTGTTTGTTCATCTAGACATGAATCTTAAAAAAAAAAGAAAAAAAAAAGAAAGAAAAGAAAACGGATCGCACATAAATTTCCTGAAAGCCTTCGACATTTCATAAAAAAAGTGCGCTATTCTTTTTTAACATTGAAAATAATCTAGATATCCTATAATAAAATAGAGAAATTTGATACATGTAAATTTTTATTTTAAGAATTTCAATCATAAAAAAAAAAAAAAAAAATAATCGTTTTCTTGTAACCCCATATTTCCCCCCTTCCCGCGTTATTCAGCAACATACATAAGAATCGGGATCGGAGTTTGAATTTGATACAAATGGCATGAGGGTGGAGCATGATGGAGGACAGTAGTTTCGTCTGAATTGTTCCTGTTTTTTTTCCTATCGCTAGTAAAAGAATTCAAGTGTATTATAAATGAATAATGATTTTGTGGTGCCTGATATCGTCTCGGCTGATGTATACATATAAAATATGCCGCCGTCGACCTACACCGAGTATGGCCTTGGGATTTAATCATGACTGTCGACTTAGGATGAAGGTAAGCAAAAGCAGATAATGAACAGCCTGGCTTAATTATCACAACAAATTTATATCAACTTCAGATAAACAGACGAATGAGCTGGTCAGTGTATAATAATGGTGAAATATTGACCAGCTTGTTGACCTAACTATGAAACATGATTTTTAAATTAAAAAGCGGCACATTATACTAATAATTAAGAGGTTTTAAAATCATTTCTAAAACACAATATTATTTTTGAAATTGGTTAAAAAATAAAGAGGTTATGATTATTTTTCAGTTTTCATTTTTTTTCAAATTTTGAAACAAAAAGTATTGCCATTTAAAAGAAATCAGACAAAGTATACTGAGTTGCAATTCCTTATTTTGCCAAGTACTTTAAGGTTCATTGATACTCTGATAAGAGAGATAACTCTTAATGACATAAATGTCTATTATTCCTTTATAGGTTTGTCAAGTTGAAATGTCTTTTTTTGTTTAATTTTGCCCCGCAAGCTATAATATCATTGTTTGTATTTTACTTATAAAATACATTTCTGTTGGAAAGTCATGAATTAAAATAAAATTTTGTATAAGTAAGCAGAGGTTTATGTACCTTAAGACAATGTTATATAAACAAAAAAAAAATATTTTGAGCTGAAATGAATGTTTGAATATTTGTGAAGGAATAGTAAAGGTTTAATATTCGATTAGAAATATAGTATTCAAATATTCAATCACTTGTTTAAACTCTTGTTGATAAAATTTTGATGTTTAAGATTAGAACTTAATTTAATTTTACTTTTATTTTGACTCCTCTCGAGATCTAATTACAGTTAGAATCTAAACATAAGAACTAGGGGATACATGTATATGATTAAAAAATTAAATATAAACAAAGAATGCAAAATAACTATTCTCAAGGTAAATCATTACATAAATGTCAACAATAGTTTCATTTTCACAACATGGAGTTTTATTCAGGGCTGAGAACAACAAATTTGTTATCAATCAATGATCATTAAATTTCCGTATGTTTTCTATCAAGGGTTTTACTAAATCTTGCAAGTGACTTGTGTATACATGGTATACGTGTAACAGGAAAGGAGAAAATGTATGGCTGGACCAGGAATTGAACCCGGAACCCCTACATCACAAGTCAGGTGCTCTACCAACTGAGCTACCCAGGCCAATATCCACTGCCCAAACCATTACATTCCTCCCTCCTTAAATTGTCTTCGCCCTCGAAGACACAACCAAGTTCTTATTTGCCCCTGGTGGGACTTTCACCTGCAAGTCTAGGGGTGGTCAACGGCACCAAATCTTTAACAGGAAAGGAGAAAATGTATGGCTGGACCGGGAATCAAACCCGGGATTCCTGCATGACTAGTCAGGTGCTCTACCGACTGAGCTACCCAGGCAGATATACACGGCCCAAACCATTACACGTTTAAGTTTTCTCTTATTAAGACTAAATAATCCTGAAATCAACTTATTTACTTTGATTATATGAAAGACATTCACTGTATTTGACTGATTACTTATGTAAGTGTCATTTTTAGTTAGCAGCATGTTTAGTGTTGTGTAACACTGAATAACATGTGTGAATCTTTGCTTTTCTACAGCACATGTGCAGGAAGCAATTTCAGTTTGGGGGGGGGGGGGGCACAGCCAAACATTTTCAGTGGGGGGGGGCACTATCAACTACCAAAATTCCTTGACATGCAAAAAAAAAAAAAAATAGTATTCTATATATTGGCAAAATTATTTGGGGGGGGGGGGGGCATGCCCCCCCTCCCGGGTTCTTGCATCCATGATGTGTCATTATGTAGCCTGCAGAGCAGAGTGACACTTAGGGATCACTGTACCCGGTGTCTGTCTGTCTGTCTAGCTGTCTGTCCTCACATCTGTTACACCTTATATCTCAAGAACTGCAAGAGGTATGGGTTTCATATTTTGCACATGTACAGCTTGGCACTATGGCTTTTGCATTTTACCATGGTTACCAACCTCTTACCTTTGACCTACTTTTTGAAATATTTTACTGTGTCGATATACAACTTATTTTAGACATTAAAGAGTTGAGTCTAGGCTATTTAGCATGTGCTCTGTTTGTCATAATATATTGTGAAAAAATACAACCATTACAGTCTACTTGACCTTGACTTTTGACCTACTTTGCAAAATATACTGCAGACAGTTTAATTTAACTTATCGTTATGTCTTTTGAATTTAGAGTGGAAGGGATTTGATAATTCACATTTACACATGTTTATAAGCTTATGACTATGTAATTTGACATTGTATGATAAACAGTACCTACAAAAACTGAAAAATCGGTATTCCAAAATAGATGATGTTGACTGACAATTGCGGTAGACAGACTGGATTCTCTTTTGAAGGATTGTTGAAATAACTAATTGATAAATAATTATTTCTAATAATTTCAATTTCATTAATATTCATTTTAGCTTTGAGGGGTTGAAGATTTGTATTTCGATTTGATTATTGGATTCCATCACTGACAGTCTTACTATGCATGTAGCAAATAAATAATTGACAATTCTTAGATTTATTTACATCTTTAATGAAGCTAAAAGCAGGCGACACATGTGTTCTGTGAAACACTGTAGTTTTTACTAATCAAACTGTGAAGACTTCATTGTAATTTCCATTGAAAGAAGTTTATAAATTGTACCATGCTAAAATGGTTTCCTGAATGACTCCGACAATGAGTACAGAAATTAAAACTTTTTTCCCACCACATTATGGCAATTTTCTAACCTTGCATCAGAGAAAGGTCTATCCAGTAAATAATGTGAGATCATTTAAGCACCATGAAAAATATTGTCATGCCGTCTGTAAAAAGTTTCCATCAGCTTGTTTCTCAAATGTTTTACTGACAGAAATTTATTAAATTTATTATTTATTATCATGATTATATGTAGCATATATTTTTCATCTCACCTGAGCTCAAATGAGCTTTTAAGCTCACCTGAGCTGAATGCTCAAGTGAGCCTTTCTGATAACATTTTGTCGGTAGTCTGTTTGTCCATCTAGCTGTCTGCTTGTCCATCTGTCTGTAAACTTTTCAAATTTTCAACTTTTTCTCCAAACCCACTGGGCCACAAAGCTTCCTTGGATGAAGGGATTCAAAGAGCTAGGTACGTTAGCTAATGTCAACAGGCCCTGCAAAATGCTTAAAAAATAAAGTTTGCGTATCCTCACTGACAATGTATATTTATAAAGTTTATGATCCTAAGTCCTTGTATATGTAAATGTTTGGGCGGATCCAAGCCTCTTATGCTGCTATGTAATATCCAAACCTATGCCGTTTCCGGAAAACAAGCAATTTTCTTCACTTTTCACCCGGTTTTTGGGAAAATTCGATGTGGCCACACGCATTGGCCACGTAGATATTTTAACCAGAAATACTATTACATAAAAGGGATTGATTTATACAGGTTTCGTTCTGGCCGTGGGCTGTGGCCACATTGAATTTTTACAAATTCTGATATTATCAGTCGTCTGCTATACGGATCTTGACGTGAGGGGAATGGAATATTAGCTTGGTAATTTGATTATATTCGTAGAAAATAAATAACAATTGAATACATGTTTATTTTATAGAAATCTAAATGATAAAATGCATTACTTTATTAAATCATTTGTAAAAATTTCGTATCCGCGACCACCTTTTTAACTTTCGTTTTCATTCCAGGCAACATTTCGGGAACAAGCAAAACTCAGGCAAATGTACACATAAAACGTCTAAATTTCTGAAGGTCTGTTGTAAAAAGGTTTATCTGAGATGTTTTGGGGTTGTTAAGTTTATAAAAAGGCATCTTATGTTTATTTTAATGCAAAACCCTAACATCTCCAGGTTGTACATCGAACTCTAAATATAGACGTCCTCGTTGTTTACATTGACAACGTACAGTGACGCGCCAAAAGATTTTCCCATTTTTCAGTCTTTCGTTCGAATATTTTACTGTAAACAATACGTTGTTTTATCAAACATTTTGATAAAAAATAATTGAGAATTTCTCATAGTAAGAGAAAACTGTATTCAGATGATTCATTGTAGATATAAAAAAAATCTCAAATTAACGACTTTTTATTATCCGTAAAAATGCTGGAAAGTTTACATGTTTCAATGCACAGATGAATTATTTTAATATTATAGCACTTACACCCTTTCTCCAAAAGCTTAATTAGTACATACTTATACTTATATTTAACGTATGATAATCTTTCAATGAATTAAATTTAACTACCATCACATAGAAACGAAAAAAAAAAAACCATACACAATTTGATATGTTTTTATGTCTTCTCAAAAATAATTGAAATGATAATTGAGAACAGTAGAGACATAAGTATATGTTATTTATGTCCCTGAAAACAGAGAAACAATGCGGTTAAATTCAGGGGGGGGGGGAAGAAGAATGGGGAAATTACATATAACTATTAAGTTTTCCTTCAGAGAAGTTAAGATGAGAATATTAATAAAATAATATTCGACTAACATGATTCTCATTATAATAAAAACTTATGAATGGGACAGCAGCTTCATATAATTTTGTGAAATTCTAAGATACTGAAAATATTTTTTAAAATTTATTTTATATATCTATAATTTTTTTCTAAGTCATTTATTTTACACCCTCCCTTTTGTGACAGGAAAAACTCTCCAAAATATTTGCAAATTCATTGATTCTTACTAAATCAAATGATATTAATAATTAAAATATCTTCCTATGAGATACACATGTATACAATTTGATACTATACAATTATTGCATGACGTGAGGAAAATATGTAGATTTATTCAGCAAAGAAAAATTATATGAATTTTTTTGGTTGAATAAATCTTCATTTTTCCGTAATATTCATGCAATAGATTCTTATTATACCGAAACAAGCAAGGCCTTTAAAAATAAACAGAAACTTTCAAAAAGTTATTGGAACACTTAACCGAAGTCCCTTGGACACTTCGTATTTAGATTTCTTTGTTGCTTTTTTTTTTGTTTTTTGTT